ATTATATTGTATTTCATTCGTGTTCTATTTAATTCAGTTGATATAAAAAAAATCATTGGTATATGTAAAGTATCCATTTAATACTGCGGTTTTCTTGCAAAATTTCGAGGTCAGTTTGTATTTTTTTTTTAATAAAAATTTTTACGAATCTTGTTTTCACACCATATAGTAATCAGTGTACATCCTCAATTTTACTATATATTTCTTTCAAAGTGATTCTACACTTTCACTGTAATGTGGAATCAACCAAAGCCATTTCAGGTTGTATAGACTTTTAAATTGTTGCGATGTTGTTAAATGTCTAAATCGACTAAACGTTCGTTGCGTACTAATATACTTAATTGGCTACATAAGTTTAATTGTGCACATAAGTACACAGATAAACAACCGGCCGCGGAAAATATGGTGCAAAGATAGCAAAACTAAAATGTGCGGTTGTAAACATCATTTTTGGGGACATTTCTGCCGATGTCAAGTAGAGCTAGTGCATGTTTATTTTCATTATACCTAAGTTCACTAATAACTTCATAATCGACCCTATTATTAGCGGCACATCATTAAGTTTAAAAGAAAAATACCGTAGAATGTAACCATATAAACGACGTATCATCGTAAATACAAACTATCGCAATTAATAGCAATTGAAATGCAGGTTTGAAATTCAGTTACATTTTTTAACTGAAATAAACACGTTGTTCGTGTTCATAGAGAATATACATTAGATAATTATTTGTTTACTGCTTTGGCAATTATTATTAAGTAACGCATATCGCCGTTCCTAGCTATCAAAAATACAATTCTACCTTTGTTCGACTTTATTCGCTACATAAAAATATTAGGTCAGTAGCATGCTACCACAGACATATCAACTCTTATATTGGGTCCCTCGCATTTTGCGGATATTTCGCTCGTTTGCCAGAACAACGTGTTATTTATATATGTCGATGTTTTACAGTTAACACGTTGTTCTGGCAAACGGGCGATTTAAATAATTAATTCGTCCCCTCGGTAATAAGGCTGTAATTAGGCATGTAATAAGGCTACATCTGCAAAATGACAACTTTTTTAAATTAGCTTTTTTGCTTAAATAGGAGAGTAATAAAATTTTACATATCCTTCATTACATTAAGTCTGTGTTCCACCGTAGGCGGAACAAAGGAGTTAAAATTACTTGAAAATAATAATAATACTAACAGTAACGCACACACTCAAAATACTAGGGACCTGCACTAGGGAAACCCTGTATCGCAAAATGAAATTTATATACTAAAAGCAGAGAGACGTCGTGCATTCCTTCATTGTTCATGAAGGAATGCACGACAGAGGAGCAATGCATTACAAATGTACATAGCATTTAAGAGCTCTTCAAATGTATATGTATTATATTGCCTTTAAAACATAAAACAGTAACTTGTTTACTGTAAATGTAAATTAAGTCCCTGTTTAAACCGGAAGTGCGATATATACATGATTTGTTTTATCTTGTGCGCATTAATCTTATGAGTTTCATGTGATACCTAAATGCATTTTTAACGTAGGTCTGATCATATGTATGTGGCTTTATATGTATGCCAAGGTTGCGAATTCTTCGCCATGTAGACTGATGACAAAATTGACATTTGCTAGCATTTCGTGGACAAAAACATTTGCACAGTTTGCACTTCAAAAAAATTATATTGTTATCATTATCAATAACAAAGATCGAACACTTAGAAAAAATCATTCGATACGGCTGACTTCGAACCAACACCCACAGGTAATCCGTGTCAGATGCTCTGCCAATTAAGCCACGGTACATACCAGCAGACATTATGAATCTTTCTATGTGCTTGTTGCAGATCTTTATTTTTGGTTGTTAACGAATTTTTGCCGTAGCTCCATCTGTGGGAAATTTATTTCTTCACTCAGAGAGGTACCTTTACAGCCACCATCACTGACGAGAGATGTCGCTATAATTACGATTTTTAGTTTATTAAATGTCACGATGTTTGACTACCATGATATTCAAATATTAATATTATTTTCAATTGTTTTGATTGCATCCGTCCCTTCGGTTACGATTGATTGTATTTGTTTTTAACGTCTTGTACAATTATATTCACAATAATAGCGTGTATATTCTTACTGAAAGGAATCAATTGTTTTCTAACTGCTTTATTGTTTACTTGCACATACAATTAACCTCTTCATAAGATACAATTAAGTACAAAAACAGATCTCGTGATTTGTAACTATTATATCGATAATTCCGACCTCAGTTTTCTTGTAATCAATTGTCGTTTAATAAGTTAATGCTATTATACTGATTGCGGTTGATTGTGGTGTTATGCCCCTTAATTAGTAATTACGTTTCGAGAAAATTTGATTCATGACGAGTCTTGACAACATGAACTATTAATAACGTGGTCTCTCCTACATGCTCTAAGCCTGGTCCCATAGTTTTTAAATTTCTATAAGTTTCTGGCAATATTGATCGAAACCTAAATAATAACAATTTACTTATTAATGGAAATATTAATAAATAAATTATAATAAAAATCTTAATTAGATTTTCAAAATCGAGTTCTTAGGTTTTCGCGATTGTTACACATAGGAAATGAAACTATTTTTCCGGATTTAAATCGCGTATATTTGTTTTTTCAAACAAACCGACCTTTCGGGCCCTTTGCAGGTCCCATGGTCACGGTTGACTGAGGTGGTACAGTCTTCAACCAGTATGTCTAACATTGATGCAAACCACCCTATTTTTTCCACTATAGTTACAATAGTTATTAATTAAATACCCTTTAAATACCTTATTTTTAATTTTACAAAGAAAACATTCCAATTTACGCTATATTAAGTTTTATAAATTATTTTATTGAATGAATTTTTATTAAGTTCAATTTATTATTAATTATTAATAGAAATTAGAATAAACTAAAACATATTAATTAGTACTGCAGTCTTATGTCTGTTTGGGATTTTTCATTAGAGGAAATACTGGATCCCAAACTGGTGGTACGGAGAAACCATCTTCCCTGTTGAAATTAGGATGTTTTTTAATTTCAATGACCTCTCGCAGCATCCTGTGTAGATAACGGACTTCTTTTGCAAGGACCTGGGGTTTGTCAAACTTCATTGAATGTGTAGGTTTATCCATGACATGCTCGCAGACGATAGATGTTCAAAATGTAAAAGAAGAGGATAACCGAACAAAAAAATTTTGTAGCAGTAAAGTTTCTCGTGAACGACTTCGTCCAGGATAATACTGCCTTACCTATTTTTGCCGATTAGATAGAGACGTTCTGATTTTGAGGGATAAAGGTGCTAGTAGAATTACAGGCACGTGGGACTTGTCAACTTATGTCTCAGGGTGACGGGCGCAGTGGCAATGCACCTTAGATCGTTGTGAGTGTCTCTCAGATCTTTGCAATTTAACACTCCCAGCGCCATAGAACAAACTATTTTTCTGAAGCAGCAAGCCATGTGGGTGGTGCGCGAGATACGCATTTTTTTCACAGCACACCATGCCTGATCTTTAGTAACTTTTGTAGCAGGCCATGTAGGCTGCCAGCGTGCTGTGAAAAAAAAACGCGTGGTTTTTTTTCACAGCACGCCATGCCTGATCTCGAATAACATTTGTAGCAGGCCATGCAGGGCTGCCGGCGGCACACCTTCAAGCTTTGCCAGCAGGCCGCGCAGTACGCCGTGATTCCACCAAAAACAAACGGATGTCACCACTAGGGACGAGATCGATACTTGATTATGATCTGGATCAGTTGTTAACAGAAAAGCTAAACAATTGACTACGTTCGCCAAACGCACAACTTATATTTTCGGCCTGCTGATGGTCAGGACTAGAAAAATCGAAAATGAATTTTACCTGGCATGGCGTGCTAGGTAAAATTCGAAAATACATGGTGGCCTGCCTGCACTTGAGTTTTTGTAGGCTGCCGGCGGCCCACATGGCCTGCTGGGTAAAATTCGAAAATACATGGCTTTTGTAAGCTGCCCATATGGCTTGCTGGTTTTTTCGAAGATACGTAGCGGCCTGCTGCAGTCGACTTTTTGTGGGCAGCCGGCGGCCCACATGGCGCTGAGAGTGTAGCTCTGAGTGGCACTGTAATTGTTATTTATGGTCAGGCGTGTAGCTTACCATCAGGCGCACGACTTGTTCGTCCTGTCACTTGATGTTATAAAAAAATTTTAAAAACGTCCTCTTTAATGTAGACAAATTTAATATCAAAATTCAAATTCAAATTCAAATTCAAAATAAACTTTATTTCATAGGTAAGCATTATTACACTTGAAATCGTCACAATAGTTAAACTCTACCGCTCATTCGTAAGGCAGATTCCCCTGAGAAGAATGAGCAAGAAACTCTAGGGGTTGCTCTTTGTAAATAACATTTACAATTTTTTTTTTTTATTTTTTTATTTGAAACATCAGAGAACGAACGAACGAAGATCACTTATTTACAATATCTATAAACATTAAGCACCTTTTTTAAAGAAAAGCTAATACTTTCTTTATATAAAGCTAATACTTTAGGTGTTGATACTTATATAATGCAACACCCTAATAAGGTCCATTGTATCCATGATGCAATTAAATTAATAAATAAATAAATTACACCAAATATTTTCTTATTTCTCCTTTGGTAGCGAAAACTGTGAAGCTGGTCTGCAGTTTGCCACTCATAACACGTCCAGAGATCTGTAACTAGTTGTAGAAACGTTCACATTTAATCCCACTTCATCCATTACATTATGAAAACAAAGCTTGAAAATGGTACTTAAAAGAGCCTTGAAATTGTGCTATTGAAAAATAATCTTACGTTAATCATTTACGTATACAACAAAAATCTGAGGGGATTTGTTATAATCACCACGCGAAACTATCATGCTAGCGATGGCAGTAGTAAAGTAAACTTCCCTATATTATAATCTAAATCCATTTTACGATCAAATAACACGTTACGTTCAATATGTTAATGACGAACATTTTTTTTCTTGCAGATTATTACCTCCAAGATCACTATCATCAGAAATACAACAACACAATGGGTGTATCAGAGGCACCAAAAGACGATTCTCCCCGAACGACTCCCGATCTGACCCAAGCGGATCAGTCACCGCCTGATCGACCTCCAGGGTCAGCAGACAGCGATGATGCTGATGACTTTGCTCCTAAACGCAAACAAAGACGGTACAGGACTACGTTTACGAGTTTCCAACTTGAAGAATTGGAGAAGGCTTTCTCGAGAACGCATTATCCTGATGTTTTTACCAGGTAAGTCGTGAAGTCATCTCTTTCTCTACTTTTCTTTTATGATACTAAGTGATGCGACGAACAAGTCGTGCGCCTGTTGGTAAGCGATACGCCTGTCCAAAACAGTTGTAGTGCTAATCGAAGCTTTAAATCGCAGACCTGAAGGGCGCTGCCACTGTGCCCTTCACCCTGAGACATAAGTTGAAAGTTCCGTGTGTCACTTACCCTTCAAAACCGGAACGCAGTAATGCTCACATTACTGCTTAGCGGTAGAAATAGGTAAGATGGCAGGAATAGGCACTTCCCTGGACGAACCCTTTCATAAGGAACTCACTGACTACTACTTACTACTCCTTACTTCCTTCTTGGTGTTACTTAGTGTTAAGATGGCACTTCGCATGCGTATATGTATTTGCATATTTGATATATTTGGCAAATTACAAGCACATAGGACTTGTCAACTTATTTCACAGGGTGACGGGAGCAGTGGCAGTGCCCCTCAGATCTTTGCAATTTAAAACTCTGAGTGGCACCGCAACTGTTATGGACCGGCGTGTAGCTTACCATCAGGCGCACGAATTGTTCGTCCCGTCACTTGATATTATAAAAAAAACAATCACCTTGTATAAATTGCATGTGTGACAAGTATGTGCCTTGTTTGCCTATTCGACATGTACAACAAACACCAAACTCGCGTTACCGCGCGCTGATCGGTTTCTCGACACACATCAAAGAAGCCTAATAGGCAAATACGCGAAATAAACCGTCCATACTATGGTAATATTTGGTTCATTCGTTTATCTCCCTAATGACTCCATGTGTAGACGGTCATATTTGTCAGTGTTTGCATATTTGACTGTACGTCAAATATTTTTCCAAGTACGTCAAACAACCAATAGCGAATACAGGTGGCCTTGTGAAGTGCCGTCATTATTTGGAATTTACACAAAAAGTCTTTCACACGGCATTCCCATTATTAACACAAACATTACTTCAATGCATTTTGAAAATGTCTAAGCTACTGCCAGACTTGGACCTCCTCTCCCGTCCACTGCCACTTTTAACTGTCTCCGTGGCCGAACTGTTACCATGCCACACAATATTTGTATGGCCTACATTTATTTCTCTCGTGAGTTTGGGTGTAATTTGTGGTTGTCTATCTGTATGTCCATGACGTAGGGTTTCCCTAGTGCGGGGCTATGTCGAGTGTGTGCGTTATTATTATTATTATTATTACTGTCCATAATCAATATACGACAATTTGTTCATACAGTAATGTCACGTGTACGTCAAAAGTTATTTTTATCACATGACAGTCATTAAAATAATACGAACAATATGATACAAAATATGTAGGTATATTGTGTGAAATTTTATCGAAATCGAAAATCTACGAAGACTAAATTCCGTAGAATATTTTAAACCTCTCTCCTGAAAAACTGTAATTTTGCAGATGTGGCCTTATTAAACCTATGACGCGAATTATTTTACCTAAAAATAATTGTCATTTAAATACCAAACACATAACTCATATTTTAATATTTATTTTATGCCAGTAAAGAGATTTTATCAGATCCCTAACTTGTTGAAAGAAACGATAAAATGGAGCGCTTTTTAAAATTTTACGTGAATCCTTAGATAATTTAATAATTGCCCCCTAACGTACAGCTAACTGTAATAATGTGCTATTTACGATATCGTTTGTTCACTAAATCACATGCAATAAAATTGATAAAAAAAGTTATCCTTACCTAAACATAAAATAATATAATTATTTCACTTTCATATCAAATTATGTTAACAATTATGATAAACGGAAGTAGGTATCAACTTAATCATAGATATGAAACTAATTTTAGATTATTAACATCAAAATTAATTAAAACTATCTAAAGATATAAATATCGCAAAATAATCCTATTATTTATTGTAAATACTAATGACAAATTACGATTGAGATTATTAAATACTTGAAGAAAATAAACGAGACTTGTGTGAATGAGGTGTGAAAAAGAAGCACGAAATTAAGACGGATTGTCTTTTGTTTTTAAAGGCCAAGTTGATATTTGGCAAAATACAGAGTTACAAATTAAAAGAAATACCTAAGTCTCAACCAGTTAATTTACTTCGAAAAATATGTTTTTTTTGGATTGACACCTGTTGAGTATTAAAATTTTTCGTCCTTCGAGGCAAGCTGAGGCGTGTAATTGGCCATACTGCCAAATCTTAGATTGTGACTTTTAAGTCAATGTTGAAATTACTTACCTACTTACTTACTTCGCCGGCTCAGCAATCCGAAGTGGATCTTGACCTCCGAAACCAAAGTACGTCATTTCTCTCGGTCTTGTGCCAATTCCGACCATTCGGACATATTCAGCTCCTTTAGGTCTTTAGCGACTTTATTCTTCCAGCAATATCTTGGATGGCCCACTGGACGATGACACGAAAGTTGCCCCATATGCGCTCTCTTGGCATCTCGTTTCTTTCCCATTCGTTCCACGTGTCCTAACCAGCGATGTCGGACAGATTTTATTTCCCCAATTTCCCCGTCTAAGTTTGACTCAGACACTAGTTCTTCTATCTCTCTATTGAATCTGGTCCTCCAGTTCCCAAATTCTCCTTCGACTGGTCCCAGAATCTTTCGAAAGATCTTCCGTTCTGTAGAAACGTAGAAATTAAATTTTGTATATTTGATAAATATTAGACAACATCACGTTTGTTGCTCTGATCCCAAAGTAAGTAGCTAAAGCACTTGTGACACCCAGAGCCGAAACAATATAGAAAAGTCAGTTTTCTACATTGACCCGGCCGGTGATCGAATCCGGGACCTCAGAGATGGCGGCACCATGAAAACCGGTGTGCAAGCCACTCGACCACTATATATATTGTCTCGGGTCGTTGTTACCGTCGTTGTTGTTTGCGTTCAGAGCAATGTATATTTTGTCTAATATACTCCCGGACAGATAATTCGAGCCACCTCGCATTTTTGTTGTAAAGGGCTAGAATACAAAAATAACGTTATCATCGAATAAACCCGATTTTCCCCCGGTTTTGCAAAATCCAAATTCCCACCAAGGACTTACGGGAAACAAGTTTAGTATACTAGTTTCAAATTTGTGTACCTAATAGTTTTTGATCAATCAAACATTGTTTAAGCTTAGGACAATACTGAAAATGCGTGGTGGCTCAAATATGTATGTATACACACACTCACACACACGCACACGCACACGCACACGCACTCGCACACGCACACGCACACGCACACGTACACGCACACGCAAACGCACACACGCGCACACACTCACACACACACTCACACACACACGTGTGTGTACATATGTATCCGGAAGTGTATTTACATTACATGTAGACGTACACACATAAGTTAATTAAATTATGGAGGATTATACAAATTTAATATATGTAGATAACGATCTGATTATGTCAAGCACAGCTGTGTGATAACGATTGAAACTAATAATTAGTAATACTTATGTGTTAAATATCGATACTATTCAAGGCCCGAAAAGTATTTTTGTATGCTTGAGCGAATCATTAACACTTGTGCCTGCACGGTTTTAAGGGTGAAGCTAGAAGCTAGACAAGCACTGTGAGTTGTGAATTTTTTGAGTACCTTAATTTACACTGCATTCGATTTCATATAAAAAGTCCAGTTTGTGTCACACCACGACGCATAATAAGTTGTCTGCCGACTCACGCGCGTAATTAGGTACGACCATAGATTTAGTATATCCATAGATTGGCCCTGACGTATTGGAGACGAGACCAAAACAAAAATACATCTGTGTGCGTATAATGTGCATGTGTGCAAGATAAATAGTGTTGCGCCATCCACTGATTTAACTTTAATATCGATTAACATATTACACCGGCGTTTCACTTCGTTGTATTCACCAAAATGTCTTAACGCAAAATACCGAGACGTTAATTAACTAGTTAATTAATGATTCAATAGAAAATTAAGAAAGCTACTATCGCCTTCTGGTAGTGCCACAGGATGGTAGGTAAATAATGGGGACTTTCACCCAAGATAACACTATGGCTCTACAAAATGGTGATAAGACCCATGATCAGTTACGGCGCGATAGATAGTTACGGCCACGAACCAAGCTGACGACCGCAACCTACAAACAAATATAACTATTATAATTATTGTATGATATGATAACATAGAAGTGCACCACAGCAGTGAATTTGCAGATAAGTAATAGAACCAAAAAACCGGCCAAGTGCGAGTTCAACTCGCGCGGAGAGGTTTCGGTACAAACTTAACATTCTAGTTGAAGAATATGTTCTCCAATACATTCCAACAGCAAATATAGGTTTATTCGCGCAATAGTAGGAAATTTAAAGACAATTTCTGTATTTTTTCAAAACTTTAGGCTCTGTAGTTTCGAAGATAAAGGGTAGAATGATCAATTTTTGTCTATTTTCTTAAACAACTTAAAAATATTTATATTTCATAATTACAAAAAATATATATTCTTAAGAACTTTCCCTCCCAATAGTGACTTAAAAATTTAGAATTAATTTATTTACGTTACACGTTTTGGTCACACAAATAAATATGTGTACCAAATTTGAAAAAAATCAGTATCGTATTTTGGAACAGAACAGAACTCTAACAACAATAAATCGCTGATTTCTTGTTGATGAGAGTAGTGCTACACAAAAATCAATTAATTGTAAGACATACCGCATGAATAATGTGGGTACAGAACCAGAACGTAGCTTTACTCTTTGCTTGCCTCTAAAGGCGTTTTATTTAAAAGCATTTTTCCTCAAAGTGTTTGTTTGCTGCATATTTTTGAAAACTTTTTGGAAAGTCTTCTTTCTTTAGCTTTATAAGCCATTTCTGTCGTACTTCAATGTTTTGAGGAAATCTGAATCAACAACAATAATTAACATAAAAAATGGGTGCCTCAACTATACTATTAAAAGAAATTTTCGTTTTAATGTAAACAAAATATAATGTACTAATGCAATATTAATTAAATATAAAGTACTAAATCCAGAAATTTCTGATTCAATAAATAAAAAAAAATTAAGTATGAAGATGATTTCGGCTGTATGCAAGTCACGCCTTTGCCTTTCTTTTTTTCAGTTAATGACAAATCTCGATAACATATTATCGATTGCGTCAATCTCTATGAAAGTGGGGTTATGAATTTCAGAAATTCACGTATTTGATATATTTTTTAATTGAATTCGTATACATTTGGGTTATTAATGCACTTGAATGGTATAATTTTACGGATATATTTAAGTAAAAAACTTTTGTGGTAGTGCTTTTAGACAGCTAAAAATTTAAATAGTACTTGCATGTGAAATGTACAATTCTGCGAGTTTTCCTTTTTAGATAAGTTACATCCGGACACTGAAAACTTTTCAATGACTAATAAACGTCCGTTTAACACTATTTCACATTTTAAAACCAATTATTTTTCAAAAATAAACGAAATTTGTTTCGTTGTCAGCTGACCCTAGGTTCATATAGCCTCATAGCTTATAATGAAGTGGTCTCGTCTACCCATCTCGTTCTAACATATGTACGTGTATACTTACTCTCTTTCACTTGCATTGCCAATCTATGGGTACCTATATACTAAATTTATGGGTACGACCGAATTTCGGTCGCACGCACTGTGCTTATAGGGAGAGAGTGTAGTATAAAACCCTGTGTCGCGGGTGCCATGGACACACACATAGACAACCACAAATTACACCAAAACTCACGAGAGAAATAAATGTAGGCCATACAAATATCTCTCCCGGCCCGGGAATCGAACCTGGGACCTCTGCGTGGCAGTCCGGCATGGTAACCGTTCGGCCACGGAAGCAGTTGACAGCAATCGGATTGCCGACGCACTGATACGCAATCTGTATGACGTCATCGGCACGCATCGGAAAAGTTGTCCCTCCGAGCAACTGCGTCGGCATTACCGGCAGGCCGGTGCGTGCGGTCCGTGCGATGCAGATCAGTGGACGCAGTTGTATGAACTTCTATACAAATAATACTAAAATCCGTATAATGCGATCCGTCCGATTGCGCTGCGTATCTGTGGATGCCTACCTTATGACGCATCTCACTCCTTTCTGGTGTTTGAGTATGTAGATGTCTTCAAGATACACGACTCCCAACTCACAAAATTACGCTTATCTGGCCTCACCCTTAAGGGAGCAATCCCATCATGTTCATACGGACGAAAGAACTAGTTTGGCGTTTTAGTTCCTTTAGTTATTTTAGAACAAAAAAATATAGCACAAAAGGAAAACGGAAACGGCAAAGAGGAAATAAAATATTCTTGTTTAAATTCAGAAATAGTCCTTATGAACGATTTCAAAATGAAATATTATTTATATGGATAATTTCGTTCCGTATTCTTCAAAGATCGAAACGGTTTCTATTATTTCCCAATTCCCAAATCTCATTGAGGTAAAAGAACTAAAACACCGAATTAATTCGTTTGTCCGTTTGAACAAACTGCATGCAGCAGGGAAAAATCTACTATTTCGTGAGCTTGGATGGAGGGACAAAAAAACAGTTGATTATGTTCGTACTTCGAAGGGCATGTTCCCATTATGTCGTGAAGACAGATAGTGCAATTTAAAGTATTGTTGCTTGTGTATATTTCATGTGTGTGTATTTCAATGAAGTCGAAACACATCGAACAACACGATTAACTGTCGTTCATGACTTTTTTGACGTTACGACGACAGACTGTCGTGGTAATGGGAAAAAGCTAGAACGATAGTCGTCCGACGATAAATAAAACGTCACAATAAAAGTGTGACGACTTATAATCGCAGCTTCAAACGATTCCATCGTCCAAATGAGAAAGCGGCTGCCGTCAACCGATAAATTGTCGTCAAGATCTAATGGGAACACCTAGACACGACAGTTGTTCAACGATAAAATAAACGTCCACCGCATAGTCACGACAGACAGTCGTGTTATAGGAACAAGCTAGACGTGACAGTCATCCAACGATAAGTAAAACGTTACGACATAATGGGAATGCGTCCTTAGGGCCAGGGCAAACCGGCGGATTTATCAATGTATATTGTATGTTAGTGCAAGTAAAATAAGGTATAAATTGCAATGCTATGAGATCGACCTCGGAGCATCGCGGTGCATTTTTCTCTGAGGCGGGAATTGATCTACTTGTTTTATTATATAATGTATGTATAGTGTATTGTTTTTCAAACGTCTACGTCGATTAAAAATACCCATCTTTCTTTGCAGGGAGGAACTCGCAATGAAAATTGGCCTTACTGAAGCAAGGATACAGGTAAGAACACATTTTTATATACATGTTATAAATAAATAATGAGCCAAGTCAAGCGTGAGAATGGTTGCTTTTCATTTAAGAAATTGACGGTTCGAATCACTGTGGCAGCTTGTACTTATGACTTTAATGTCTAAGTCCCGTATATTACTTAATGTTTAGTAGCAATACCTCTCGATAACGGGGGATAAAAATACCTTGTTGAAATGTACATGTCAAAGAAGCACAACCCCAGGAAAACGTGGGAAGTTCCCAATCCGTATTGAGCCAGCGGGCATGGCGGACTGTGGCCTAAACTAAACTATGGCCAGTAATGAGATATATAAGTTGTTATAGTACCACATTTAAACATAAATTCGATATCTGTATTAATATTACAATTATTAATACAAAGATCGAACACTCAGAAAAAAAAGCTTCGATCCATATCGGTGAATAGCGACATATCTAGCCGCGCTGTAAGCTGTAAAGGTATCTAACTGGGTGACGAAATACTTTCATAAATTTCTCATAGATGGCGCTACGGCTAAAAAGTCGTTGAAAACCAAATATAAAAGACACGGCAAGAAGCACAGAAAAATTCATGAAGTCCGCTGGTTCGTTCCGTGGCTTAGTTGGCATAGCGTCTGCCACGGTTTGCTAGAGTTTCCGGCCGGAAACGTCAGTTCGAATTCGGCCGGATTGACGGAATTTTTTCTGAGCATTCGATCTTGTATTAATAACTATAGCAAAATAGTGGAGTAATTTCACATAAAAGTAATTGAATGTCAATTCAATAAAAATTTAAGTCCATTTAATTTAAAAAAAAAGTAACGGCCCGTATAAATAAATATATAAAAAGCTTATGTCAAAATTCTTCTTATGTCTTCAAAACCGGAACGCAATAATGCGAGCATTACTGCTTGGCGGTAGAAATAGGTAAGATGGCAGTACTTCTCTGGACAAACTTTCATAGTAAGGTCTACTACATAATCGTAATATTATTTATTTTAAATAAGGTCGTAAAAATCTATCTGTAAATTCATGATCTGCTGATTCGGTCTGTTGGTTAAGAGCGTTTGCCCCGGTGTGACAACAGGATCTAGTCCAGTTTGAGCGAGGTAATTATTTCTCGTGTTCGATCTTTGCGTCAATAATAATAACAAGCTAGTGGAGAATTTTCGCAAAAATTATTTGAAAATCATTTTAGTACTTGAGATTGCTGAAAATCAGTGCCACGACATTGTTTAAAAAACCAATATGACGGTAAATTACTGATTATATCATGTAAATTGTTGTAATATTCTTTTTAATTTTTTTATTACTGTTCCTCTGTTTCTTTTTTGTTTAAATGCGTATGTGTGCTTGTGTAATAAACAGTTTTCTTTCTTTCTTTCTAAAATATCATAAAGGTCAAAAGGTCATCATAAACATAAAAAAGGAAGTAAATAGTTCTGGTAACGCATTAGATTTAAGTGTAAGTAAAAGTTTAAGATTCTTATGAATGCTTTCAAAAATATTCATTGATTGTGCAACACACTTGAAAATACAAAACTAGGATATGACTATTATCGTAATTTAAATTCAGATTAGGATTATCAAATATCATTTTTTATACATTCTTCACATTATCGGTAGAAAAGTTGATTTGCGTATCTATTATAATTGATTCGACAGTCAAACGTACGTCCTATACTATATGAAATCAAATACAAACCGCCATATTTCAAACAAGTCACCCACGTGATGTCACAAATCAAACCTGTTAAGATATTCAACGTTGAATGGAATACGCTAGTGTTAATTATAATAAATAGAATCTGCCAAAGTAAGACAATGTATTTTACTAAATTAATGTACGTTTTACTAATTATAGATAAATTAAAACATTAATTTTACTAATTATGTAATTGTAATATTAATGCAGTAAAAAAATGTGTAAATCATTATTATCATCTTTTTAGGTTATTTTTCCGGATTTAAATCGCGTATATTTCTTTTTCAAACAAACCAACGTTTCGAGCCCTTTATAGGTCCCATGGTCACGGTTAACTGAGGTGGTACAATCATCAACCAGTTATATCTAATATTAATGCAAACCATCCTATTTTTTCACTATAGTTACAAAAGTTATTAATTAAATACCTTATTTTTAATTTTACGAAGAAAATTGTTTTACAAATTATTTTATTGTAACAATATGATTTTTTATTAAGTTAAATTTATTATTAATTAATAATGAAAATTCAATCAATCAATCAGCCTATTGCAGTCCAGTAGTGCTGGACATAAGCCTCCCCAAGTTTACGCCATGGTGCCCAATCACCCGTTTTCCGCATCCAACCACTACCCGCGACCTTCTTCAGATCGTCGGTCCATCTTTGCAGGGGGATTTCCTACGTTACGTTTGTGAGACGTGGTCTCTACTCGAGAACCCGTCTACTCCATCGCTCATCGGTTCTGCGACAGATGTGTGCCACTTCAGCTTGCTATATTTTTGAACGGTATCCACAACTTTAGTCTTATGCCGGATACTTCGTTAGTGACTTTGTCCCTTAACGAGATACCCAGCATAGACCTTTCTATAGCTCGTTGAGCGACATGTAGTCTGTGAGCCAATTTGACCGTCATATTCCACGTCTCGGCTCCGTAAGGCATGACCGAATAACGGAAATTATAATAAATTAAAACATATTAATTAGTACTGCAGTCTTATGTCTGTTTGGGATTTTTCATCTGAATTATCATCATTAACCCATTTATACGTCCCAGTAGTCACAGGCACAGGTCTCTTCTCAGGCGAAGCTTTAGGCCACAGTCCGCCATACTGGCCCAGTGCCGGTTGGGGACTTCACATTTTCCGATGATTGTATACCTTCTTCGACGTGCAGGTATCACCACGATGTTTTCCTTCACCGAAAAGCTCATGGTTAATTTCAAATTAAATTTCTCACATAAATTACGAAAGACCACGGCCTCTGCTTGAGAAGCTGTAACTCAAACCGTTGAGCTACCACGGCTTTTTTATATAGGTATTCACCTAAAACCCTGGTCCGTTCACGGCAGTGGAAATACCAGCGATTGTATCTCATTCATACAGTTAAACCGGAAATTATTTTCCTATTTAAATAGTTACCTACACCACACATAAATTAAAAAAACGCTTTCTGCATTCTGCTAATGTTATTAAGAGTGCAATCAATCTCCTTTTAAAACTCTATTAGTTCTAATATTCATAACATTGTCTCACATAACACACGATATATTCTCACTGTACAATTGAACACCTGTACAAATAAATCTAAAATTCTTGTCACGACCACCTGTAATGAGGGAGACCGAATCGAATTCGACATTGGTACCACTTCATCCGCTATTTTATTAAATTGCTAACGCTAAAGATGAAAATTACAAGAAAAAAACCTGAGGTTGTATAATAAAAACAAAAAGACTAAAAAATATACAAAGCGTTGAATTGGCTAACTGTATTTATTAAATGTCTTTTTATCCGACCATAAAAAAAAGAAAAATTGCTGGAAGAATTGCGACACTACGATTAATACTCATTGGCATTTGATTACATTTAAGTACATTGTGAACAAGTAATAAACTCTATCATTAACGTTAATTACACTACAGCCTTGCTTGCGGTGGATTGAAACTAAAAGTTAGGTACAGGGTTGTATAAAAACAAAACAATAATACATTAATATAAAAATATATATGTCGGAATATAACTGTAAGGGAAACGTTAAGGGAAAGACCCATATATGAATTAGTCAGAGTCTATTCACTCTTCGTTATCAATTCGTTCAGTCAGCGGTGAAATAAAAAGTCAGTTACTTGCAATTAATTAGTTTATTCACTTTCATAGTAATTATTAGTTCGAAAGTACAAAAGAAGCTTAAAAAGAATTTCATACGTGACGCAGTAAATTCACAGAGAGCGGCCGCACTCGGATGTCCACTATTCAAGTAACTCTCACAAAAAGTCCATCTTGTCCATGCGGTCTTAATATATAAAGCACTTCACTCCATATTTTCATATAGCAACTCTGCCAACGATCGTCATGTTATAACCACACCCTCTACAACCTCACTTACATAATTTAGTTAATCGTTTCTTTAATAATTAGAAAACAACACGTAATAATATCAGCTAAGATTTTGCAAAGCAAATCACGTAAAACCGAACACCATTATTTGAAGTATACAGAATATATGTATGTGCATATAAAAGATTTTTCGTTAAGAGCGAGTAGATTTTGACAATGCATAGCGGCCACGTTGTTGAAGCTGCTTTTGCAAATTTGTTGGCACAATAGAACACCTATTTTGATAATATTTTTTTATCATTTGCACTTGTTGCTCGACGCTGTAACTTGCCATGATGATTTGTCTTTATTGACTGAAAAATAAACAACAGATTTGACAAAAGCAGCCTCAACAACATGGCCGCTATGAACTTGCAAAATCTACCCGCCCTTGATGGAAAACCCCTTGTGTCTACCAAACCGTGCGCCTGGTGGAAAGCGACACGCCTGTCCATAACATTTTCAGTGCCACTTAGAGCTTTAAATCACAAAGATCTGCCACTACATTCGTCACCCTGAGACGTAAGTTGACAAGTCCTATGTGACTGTAATATAGTAAATCTTACATTACTGCTTGGCGGCAGAAATACGTAAGGTGGCAGTACCTCCCTAGACAAACACTTTACAAGAGACTCTACTGCTACTAAAGTAATAATAGATGAACAATTTTCGGTTACAGATGCGATAATGTTTCTTTTTACTTTATTATACGAGACACAAAATTTTGCTTCTAAAGAATGTCAGACTTAAATCCAAAGCGTCCACGTAGTTTCATTCTAGTCAATGTCTCTCTAGACCTTTTAATAACAGAGAATGTTATCTGTACTCGTTCATTAGGTTGGTTTATTTTGTTACAATCCGAACCATTACACGAATACAAATTAGTTTGCAACAGCATAATTGAATGATTACAGTTTTATCCATGGAATGTTCGAAGTAATATATAATTTTGCCATGTACTTTCAATATATAGAGTTCATTGGAATCCCTCAAGGTTGAATGAATTATCGAGCAATAAAAATGCACTTAACAAATGGGACTTCCAAAAAGCCAAAAAACTAAAAATATTGTCGTTGACTCGAACGCTATCCGCGAGAGCCATAAAATTAAGAAGACAGAGAACTTTCAATTTTATAAACAATTCCATATATTTTACAAACCACTTTTTCATAATATGTATACGTACTCATCACATTTTTAAATTTCGCTATGCTCCAATTATAATATTCTTATATTTTAAAAATTCTTATAAATAATTCAATACGCGAAATGGTTTAAGGGGAGGTATTTCAACGCGCCTAGATTTTAGGGGTGAGGTGTGGGGTGTCGCCCCTCGCGTCCCGCAATCTGCGCGCTGTTAATTAATATGAATAATATAAAAACAGACAGAGACAATTTGACACAAATAAGACATCGACAAGTGCCCGATGGCCAATTACGGGGCAGCGGACGGCGCGGCGTGTCCTTAAACCGCTGGGTAATTTGCATATTTTATAAATGGGATATATATACGGGATGGGATAAATGTGACTTTAATAACAAATAGGGCTTCAGTTGCAAAGCAATATTTAGCAGTAGTAAGCACATAAATAGAAATATCTCCATATGAAAAGTATGTACAAAGATATATATTTCGATTCATCCGTAGAACAAAGATCTATGTGCAAGACTACTTGTTCTCAGGACATAATACATTTCGTTCGTCTTCTTCGCTGTGGATGTCCGATCGACCGTTGTTCGATTTTATGTTTCCGAAACGAAACAGGATAATATAAATTCTCAAAACACCTTTACATAGGCCTTAGTTTGAATAACGAAATTATTCTCGTAAAGTACTTATTCTCTTTTTGCTAATAATCACATCGGACTTTGTTCTTCGGATGAATCGATTTTATTCTTAAATAATTCGTTTTAGACTTTTATTTTGGCAGGATTTTATATTTTATATTTTATATGATCGGTTAAAGTACATCCTATCGTTAACAAATAAGCACATTATTTAGGAAACATCGTTAGTTGTATAGTATATTCTTTGTAAGACCGTTATATAATAATAAATACCTAAACCATTTGATCTAGCAAAACAGTTTTTCCCGCTTCTCTTCTGACTCGTCTTAATGTAGTTTTTGTTTCCTTACTGAAGTATAAAAGCAACTTTCTCAAGCAACTTCAGTGAGGAACAAAAACTACTTTTTGTTTCCTTACTGAAGTTGCTTGAGAAATTTTTCGTTTTACTCAAATGCTGCCGTGTACCTACCAGTTAGTAAACTGTTGCTAATGAGCCGCTTTATCACTCGAGTTGAACTTTAAACGCGATGCTGGCCGTTTGGGTTGATGAAGGCATATTTTTCAAGTCCTTGTTTATTAAATGGAAGCCATCAGCAATTTCCTTGTATCATTACCACTGCCACGGGCGCCTAAAATGTCGCTTTCAGGATTATGATATAAAACATAAATTTTTATGAGAGATTTGCTTTAGAGAAGCAAGTATCGAATAAAGATTCGAATTCGAATGTCGAACCAATAATCCGACTAAAGAGTCGGATTGTTGGTTCGATATTCGAATTTGTTAGCTTTTTACATACATTTTAAATGCTTTTTACATGAAGGATGTTTATGTGTTATTATTGGGTATTTTTGGGTCAAAAGATTTCATTTTATTATTTAATTTACGTCCATTAATGACTATAATATAATTACCAAGCCTGACTACAAACTATAATATAATTTTGATACCTTATTTTTTCAACAATCACTACATCTACACAAATAGACTACATGCTGTCCTAAACTACGTAACAAAAATTTTTTAAAAGCATCATCTTAAGCCATCTCCCCGATAGCCTCACCGCCTGGTCATTACCTTAATGCGGCGCTGTGTTAAGCTATTACGACCGGCACCTGGAGCCAACCCTTTTTGCAGCCCGCCGTACATTCTCTACTCGTGTCTACCTCCAATTATCAGCATTTATACATTCACCGGACCCGTATCAACTCATATTTATAGACGGGGGTCTATAAATATTACACCAAAAAGGAACTTAAGGTCACTCATTAAATTTTAAATACTTTTCATAAAACTTCTTGCGTTAAACGAAATTTTAGTCCCCCCGACGACATTTACAGAAACACGAGTATTTCTTTTTTGTGCCATAGCAATCCGGCCTTTATCACAAGTGAATTAATTTTAAATAATTTAATTTGCCATAAAAATAGCAGTTTGTATAATGAACGTAGTGCGCTCCAATGGCATTTTTTCTGACGTTCGTTGAATATTTAAACGGAATACATCAGGTGGTTCGATATTATTTAGCGATAAATCAGAAAATGTAATGTTTGAGATTCTAGATAGTTTTTGTTTGTGGATGCCTTGCCTTACCAGTGTAGCACTTCTTGTATGTTTGTCTTTTATTTTGTTTGACAAAATTCAATTACATCTGCATTGTCGAGTACCGAGCCGTTTTTTTACGTTGAATGAAAAACATGAATAAAAAATGCGACACATGAAGTTATGATGCCTATTAAATTTGAGCAAGTTCGTTCTTTAAAAAAAGTTAATTGTACAGTAACAGACGTATTAAACTGTTGATTTTATTATTTCTTAAATTAGTATTGAATTAATACTCAATTATTTCTTGTGAAATTACTCCACTAGTTTGTTATAATTATTAATACAAAAATCGAACACTTAGAAAAAATTCGAACCGACATCAAACCGTGCCAGCCGCACTAAGCCACGGAATGAACCAGCGGACCTCACGAATTTTTCTATGCGCTTGTTGTTGGATGTTTATATTTGGTTTTTGATGACTTTTTAGCCGTAGCACCATCTATGAGAAATCTATGAAAGTATTTATTATTACTTTCAAAATAAATTTTGCATGTGACGTTTTATACAAATAAGGACCGTCAAATAAGGTTTTATACAAATAAGGTTCTTCATTGTTCGGATAAAAAGTTAATTGTCTCTATATTTATTTTAATACTAGACTTATTATAATTATTAACACAAAAATCGTACACGATCGAACGAAACACTCCAACTAAGCTACGGAACGAACCAGAAGACCTTACGAATTTTTGTACGTGTTTGTTACAGACCTTTTTGGGTTGCGTTTCTGTTGTATTAGTAATTATAACAAACAAGTGGAATAATTTCACAAAAAATAATTGAATATCATAGTAGTAAAATATCAGTATATTTAATAAAACTTTACATTACAAATATAGTTATCAGTCTATAGAAAATCTTAACGTCAATTGTGCCAAATTCGTTGTTAGGATATCTGGAATTACGATCTTGATAGAAAAACAAAAATTAACACTATTTTTTTATTTTTGTTGCCTTAATTTTCATTACAACCTTCTGTTCAACAGGTATGGTTCCAAAACCGACGAGCTAAATGGAGGAAACAAGAAAAGGTGGGACCACAAGGACACCCGTACAACCCATACCTGACTGCAAGTGGGGGAGCCCCCCCTCCGAGCGTGGTGGCGTCCATGCCGAATCCATTTACTCAACTCGGTTTTGGTTTTAGAAAGCCTTTTGATACAAATGCGCTGGCGTCCTTTAGGTGAGTTAAATTGATTATGAATAACGTAATAGTACGTTACAGTAACGTTACAGCATGTTTGAAAAATATATTCTAGTGTATAATAGAACAAATTCAAATTCAAAATAATCTTTATTTCATAGGTAAGCATTATTACACTTGAAATTGTCACAATGGTTAAACTGTACCGTTCAATCGTGAGGCAGATTCCCCTGAGAAGAATGAGCAAGAAACTCTAGGGGTTGTTCTTTGTAAATAACATTTGTAAACATTCAATATTTACAATATTTATTTTTTTCATGTTTGTCATGGAGGTAGTCCCTGATCGAAACTACCTCCATGAACTAAACGGGTTACGTTACTTTACGTTACCACGGATTTTTGTCATCCAAGAACGCAGAAGTTGTATAATAACCTTTAGTATAAAGTTTTTGTTTCACT